GGGGGGGGGGGGGGGGGGGGGGGGGCGTACTCTTATGCTTTGCATGCCTTAGCGGTTAGACCATTGACCACGCGTCCTCGAGAGGACGGAGCATTGTTCCCACAGGACCGATCACCGATGGCCAATCGTTCCTTCCTACTTTGCCAAAGGTGGCTCAAAAATGTCTTCCCTAGTCTGTCTATCCTACCGATGTCACTTCCCGCCTTTTCAAACCACTTCCTACTCCCCAGTACAGCTACCGTCCTCTCCTCTCTATTCCATGCCTCAAACATCTCCCTGTACGTCCCTTGTATTCTTCCCAGCTCAGTCATGTACACTTCCCTCTCCTTTTCGTACCACGGACATTCCGCGACTACATGAACACGGTCTTCGCATTCGAAGCCGCAATCACATTTGAACTTGTCGTCTTCGTCGTCTACCGTCCTATGTCTTCGTCGACGTTCTCGAAGGCCTATGTCCCCGGTCCTGAATTTGACCTTAAGCTTTGTCCCTGCATCCATTGGTCCATGTAGGTAATCCTTGAACCCTATTCCTTCTTTCAACATTCCGTACACTTCTAGACCCTCCTTATCCTTGGATTCTTTCCTTAGATTCTGTTCTTCTCTCTCGGCACAAGCAACAGATATCTTCTCCTTGAACCCCTGTAGACCCTCCGTTTCCAGCGTTTCATCTTCGTCGATGTCCAATCCCTTCCATACGTTCTCTACAACCTTGACCCATTCCGTGGGTTGTCTACCCCTCTTTTTGTTTGCCCACTTCGCCTCCCATACTATTCTCGGCAACCTCTCCTCTCCCATCCCGCACATGCGGTACTGCCATGTCAGCTTCCTTACGTCTCTTCCCGACCGTAGGGATTGGATCCCCAATTCTGCCCTGACTGCTGCATTACTTGTGCACTTGGAGCATCCTAGGATGATTTTCGCTGCTTTCATCTGCGCCGCCTCGAGTTCTTTCACTACCTTCTTATTTCCTTCCCATACTTCTCCGGCGTACTCTAGCGGCGGTACGATTACGCTCTTCAACACCGTCAATTTGATGCGTGTATCAAGGTGCCGGTTTGCGAGTATTGGGTGCAGCTTCCCTGCTCGTGCTTTGCCCTTTTCCGCTACCTTGGACATGTGTGCATTCCACGAGCAATCTTTTGCGATCTCTACTCCGAGGTATGTGTACTGGTCCACTACTGCAATCTCCTCGATCCCCCACTTCCATCTATGTTCTACTGGTTCCTCCCTGCCCTCGTTGCATACCATGACGGCACTCTTCGTAACGTTGGCAGACAATCTCCACTTATCAGTAAACTTCTTCGCCGCGTCAATTTGCAGTTGCAGTCCCTCAGGGGTGTCCGACATACCAACAAAGTCATCCGCAAACAGCATTCCTGACACCGAAGTTTCCGTGTCCCCTACTTTTACTCCCTTCCGGACTGCCTCTACGACTTCCAACAGATCGTTGATGAACACCTGGAACAATGTTGGGGACAGCGTGCAACCTTGTGGGACCCCCTGCTCGATGTCGAAGAATTTAGACAGTTCTCCGTCTAGCATGACCGCGCTTTTCGTACACTCTTGTCATCTTCTTCAGCACCCTCCACATTTTCCCCTTGATCCCGTACTTGGACAATTGTTTCCACAGCCCATTTCTCCATACGGTATCGTATGCCTTTTTTCACGTCCAGCAAGAAGCAGTACGTCCGCTTGCCCGCCCTCTTTCTACCTTGGATGATTCTCCCTACCGTGAATGCGTGGTCTACGCACCCCCTCTTCTGTCGGAAACCTGCCTGGCCCTCACTAATGCTACGTTTCTTCTCCAATACTCCCACTATCCTATCGTTCAGCAGCTTACAAAACACTTTTCCTACTGCGTTCAACAGTGTGATACCCCTGTAGTTTCCTGGGTCAGTCTTGTCTCCTTTCTTAAACAAGTTCACAACCACTCCTTCCCTCCATGTACTTGGCGCATACTCGTTTTTCCACACCCAGTTGTACAGCAGTACCATCAGCTGGATCATCCCCTTCCCCCCAAACTTCATGAACTCGTTTACTATCCCATCCGCCCCTGCTGCTTTGTGGCACTGCAGCTTGTTCACACACGCCTCAACCTCGTCCTCAGTGAACTCATTTTCTAGTTCTACGTTCCCAACGTCTGCCTTGGATGTCT